TTTAAAGCGTACATTTGATAGCATAAATTATTCATAATTGATGTCCCAGTTTATTTGATGTCCTTGTTTTGGTACAGCTACATGTCACAAGCTGATATTCAATGCAGACCTGGAGCTTGATCCACATGGAGCACTATAGGATCGTGTGACGGAACGCGGTATAGTGTGTGGCATGTGGATCCAGAGTGCGGCGGGGGCGGTCGGGTAGCCTAGTTGTTAAAGCGTTCACTTGTCACGCCGAAGACCCGGGTTCGATTCCCAACATAGGTACAATGTGTGAAGCCCATCTGTGGTGTCCCACGCTGTGATATTGCTGGAATATTGCTAAAAGCAGCGTGAAACCTCACTCACTCCAGTGTGCGGCAAGGGAGTTACAACAAAAGGAGTGACTAACCAACACAAATTGCCAAACCAGCCATCATCCCTTCCCCAAACTGTCTGTGCTTAGTGTAAGTTGGGGCTGAAAAGAAACCTCCCTTGTCTGCAATCGCCGTTAGCCAAAAAGGAAAAAATCACTAACATATATTGGCTAAAGTTGGCTATGTATCACCAACAGGCGATGCTTGCGATTGTAAAACCGAGGAAAGAGAGGCGGGTGTACAAGCCAGAGGGCTTACAATATAAGGCATTACCCAGGAGGGCTGATTTATCTGGCATAGATAACATAATCATTATTTTAAATGCGCTAGATAAATTTCGGGTAGACACCTGTTGGGAGCCCAGGTAAGAATATAGGTCCCCAGCAACCTATGCTTGTCGCAAGAGGCAACTAACGGGATCGGGTGGTCAGACTTGATTGAATGTCATTATATTCCAATTGTGTGGATCAGTGTTCATGATGTGAATCACTGGATTGTCTGGTCCATACACGATATACATATATATATATATCGTCGTAACACTTAAGCAAGACAACTTCTTTGCCATACCCTTTCAGTAAGGCCACTTACACTTTTCCCTCCCCGCAACAAAATACGATGTTAATATACTGTTGAAGATTGTTCGCCACTTGTCCTTTTCACTATGGCATGAGGGGCTACAATTTGCTGCGCAGAGTCTCGTCCCTTAGCCACAACAGAAACCTCTGATTGTGGGCTGACGCTGATTATGTTTCTATGTTTGAGCCATTTTTGTCAGCACCATACCCGTGTCCATGTGTCAGCTATGTGGTAAACGTCTCATATGCTTCCATAACACATCACAGTGATGTGCAGTGATGTAGCTGAAATACTGTTCACACACTTACGAGACAAAGCAACAATGTTATCTATACACAAAGGCAAATGTTATCATTTTGAATTTTTGGGGCAGTCAGTTTGAACCCGTGCTAATGTGTTACATGTATTCCATAATCAACATCCATAAACATGGCGAGGTCGATAGTTCTTCCAGATAATGAGGTTGCCAGGCAGTCAACCCTCTCTGATTGCCTGTGTAAACTCTACCTGGTCACTTGTGCTCAAAGTGTCGGCTGCTGTCCCTTGTCTCTGTTGGTGTGTTGGGACTTGAAGATTTGTTCTTGATGCTGACCTGAAACGATTGTTTTCCTGAAGGTACAAATTTTCTCGTGGGGGCATCTCGAAAGGCATTGTCTCTGGAAGACTCCCATGGTATCCTGGACTGGATGATCATTGATACAAGCAATTGGGATACAATGACATGCATCAACCAAGTCAGTGAGCCTGACCACCTGATCCCGTTAGTTGCCTCTTACGGCAAGGATAGTCACAATTTATGGTAAGCATGGGTTGCTGAAAGCCTATTCTACCCCGGATCTTCACGGATCACTTCATCCAAGACGCTAAATTTTTCATTAAACCAGAATGTTACTTTGATGGGTTGTGTCATAACCAACTTCCTTATCTGAACAGCCGTGGTGTGTACTCGGGGAAAGTAGATGTTGCCTCTGCAACCAAATATACTGACTTGATATCCACATCTCTTGTATCTCTTGTATCTTGATGATCTGTTTGGATGGTTGCTGAGCTCCAAAGACACCCTCTTTAGACTTTTGTAGAGGAAGGGTAACATGTCCATCGCACTACTGTTAATAGAGTACAAATGACCTTACTTCTGTGGCTCGGTCAGGGCAGGGTAGGGCGTCTGAGTAGAGACGAAAGGTTCGTGGCAACCTGCATATTCAAGTATCTGTGGCTTCACTTGTTCTTCCATCTTGGCCTTGAGACTGGGCATAAGATGATATAATTCCCAAATTGTAATCTGCTGTGAGTGATTCATCAGACTGTATGTTGTCTTGATCTCTAGTCCTCTCCAATCCCGTATCCATACTGGCCATCCTCCTCCCAAAGGCGAGCCATGTACCAACTGGGTTAGGTCCTGTGCAGTCCATGAAAGTCAGCATCTGTTGGGGAGTCCATTTATGAGCCAGGATCTGTGGAGTATAATTGGCTTAATTGATGCGTGTAGTCCGATGGGCAGCATCTAGTGGTACCTTGATTGGTGTCCAGCCTGCTTCTTTGCCCTTCTTGGTCCATGCCATGCATGTGGTGGATAGTCTTATCCATTGTGTGAAACAGCTGCCCGTCCTGGTGCCCCTGGCAAGTTTGAATCTGTGTCTAGAAATCCTATGGTGGCTGTAGTGTCCATTGTGGGTAACCTACCGGACTACCCAAACCACCTTAGGTTGCCCGTGACTGGCTGGCTTTCTTCTCAGATACCCTAGGTTACTTGTCTTGTACACTGTGCAGTACACTGTCCAAGCCTGAAGAGACAAAGAATTCAGTGTTGTCTCTTTGTTCTACCCGTCTGACCTCAATTCTTCTTGTCACCTACTCTTGGCCTTGGGATTGTTCTGCGTCTGCTGTAACGACAATCTGTGGTCAAACATGGCCTCATCACTTCTTCCTGCTTCTTAAGCTTATCTTGTAGCAAGTTCAAGGAGAAGATTGACATGGCGTCTGGTTAGGCTGACGACCAATTCTCTAGGGAAGGCATAGGCTGAACATCTGGAGATCTTCCTCTCCACCTCTTGGCTGGGAAGTGTCTGGGTACAGATCTCTAGAGCCTCAATCATCTTCTTCACAGCTTCCTGGCTCTTGATCTTTTTTTCCAGAAGTCTGTCACCTTGGCCAAAACTCATCCCTAGAGCACTTCCAAGGTCTGCACATTCAACTAAGCTGAGGTGATCATAACGTGACCACACTTCTTGCCGGAAGACGATGTAGAAGGGGTTGGGGGTGCCATGTAGATCCCAAACACTTTCTTACCCAAACAAGCCCAACCCCCCAAAAACAAACCTTCGAGTTAAGCCCAATAAATATATAATCTTCTTCAGATGGATTTGAGGATAATAATAGCCCTAATCTTCGTTACACAGATCTAACTATGACATGACAACTACCAAACATAATGTGCTTTATCATCAAAAACTGGCTCCCACAGGAGATATCGCTTGGATTAGATCAAGCGATATCTACACTGTAGATATCGCTGCAATGAAATTACATCACAATGCTTTGCAGACCATTGTGACCTCACTGGTTACCATGACGTCACAATCAAATGACATCACTAATGGCTCTGCCACTGAAGCTGTTAGCAGTACTTTTTACACTGAAGACACTGCTAATTACTGTCTACAAATTGAAAAAGTTGAAAGAATGATGTTGGATGATAAATAAAATCTCACCCTCGTGTCTTTTGATATCAAATATATCAACACTCGTTTTCCCACCTTCATAAGGTATAGGTTTCTAGATACTATCACTTGCACAAGAGGTGAGGTGAAATTGGGTTTAACGTTGTGTCCAAGATTATTGCACTTATATAACGACGTGCATGCACGTGTGTGTGTTTGTTGCTGCTTGTACTAGTCCGGACTGATGCCGATTTATAGTGCTAGCTCACTGAGATACCATGCCGCAGTTTAACATGAATACCCAACTCAGACACAGTATACTGACCAGTCCATTTTAGCCCCTTAATGCCGAGCGCCAGACAGGATAACAACAAGTACCATCTTTTAATGTCTTTTGGTATGATGCGGCCGGGGATCGAACCCGGACCTTCACAAGTGTTAAGTGAGTGAGTGAGTGAGTGAGTCTGATTTTACGCCGCTTTTAGCAATGTCCAGCAATATCACGGTGGAGGACACCAGAAATGGGCTTTACACATTGTACCCATGTTGGGAATCGAACCCGGGTCTTCTGCGTGACGAGCGAACGCTTTAACCTCTAGGCTACCCGACCGCCCCCACAAGTGTTTATGGATAGTTGGTAGTGAAGATGATTTCTGGTGAAATTTTTTAGTGTGATAACAATAAAAATACAGGATTTATGGTTGTGATGCAATAGAAGAAGGGCATTCGCAGTATGTGATGTTTGTAATGAACTATTCAGTTGTTTCCAGTTAGTCAATGCTTGCCTGGCTGGCTGTTAAGAGTTGGTACCCAAGATTTATCAACTGAGGTTGTGCAGAGTTGTGTCCCTTAGGTAGTGTGTTCAAAGATCTTTCTTATATTTGGTGAAATACAATTACTGAATAACTTTTATCAGTCAACATGTCTGTGCACAGGTGCTTCAGTGATAAGTGCCAAAAAATCTTGTCACTTTAACATCACTGTTTAGCAACCGTACTCCATAGTGTGTGTGTGTGTGCGTTGAGTGAAGGGATTCTGAAAGTGTCTAATGCACTGACAGGGGAAATTTTATTGCTTGTCACTTAATATCAATGACAGGTTTGTCTGGTCAAAATTTGATTTTTGACAGAACGTTATCACAGTGAGAAAGATTTTACCAATATTCCAGCAAAATCACAGCAGGAGACACCACCAGTAATTGGCTTCATACATTGTATCCATGTAGAGAATCGAACCCACGTCAGTGTGATGAGCAAGCTTTACATACTAAGCTACCACACCACCCTGCCATTATCAGATAGCTAGAATAGTGTCGAGTGCAGCAAACAACAAACAAACAAGTTTTTGTGCTTCTCATGTCACAAGCCTTTAAGGCAGCCTCAAACAAAACAAAGCCTGTATCTCATGTAAAATCTGGTTTTAATCTCAGTGTTTTGGAGACACCAGATAGAGTCACTGTACATCACACTCTCTCTTCTCTCACAGCAACCCTGCTGAAATACACAAACATGACAAAATACTCCATACAAATCAGTATATTGCATGACAAAAATAACATGAAAATGATCCTATATATTATTAGTATTTACAAAATTCTTTGACTTTTCTGTACAAGTTGATAAGGCATTGAAAACAAGTACTTCACATAAAATACTCCTGGAAAATGATATCGTCTTGTTTGACAATGATAGTTTGACATGCAATCAGGGTAATATGAAGTTGATGCATATGTATAATGAGTATCACACAGACATACTATGCAGCCGCCGCAAATCCTGTAACATAAATCATGAATTATCATGCATAACATAAACTTGAAAATACATTTAAAAGCTATTACAAATTTAAACAAAATTCTTAAATAACAAAAAAGAATTATTTCAAATTGCAAACTTAAAAATTCTTAAATTAAATACAAAATCCTATTGTAAACATATCTCCTTCTTCAATTCCTACCAGCACAGCCAGACATTATGATGTGTATGTCCTAGAAGCACAACTGACTACAACTACCCACTGTTAAAGCTTGAGAGTACCAGGAAACCAGAGAGACGAAGCACCATTATGTCCGCATCTTCTACCCGTATCTAATCAAAAAGGTGACAAGCAAATGATGGAAACAAACACATTAACCATGCAGATATCACTCTCACTCACTACCTCTCCTCAGACTGGTGTAATGCTGGAGCCACATGCACACAACACGCATAACCATCACATAATGAGCTTATGATTTCAGATCTTTGGTGGTAATAAGTCATGTTGAAATAAAGAACTAATGAGAACTCTTACACTGACATGTTCATATGGTGGGTGAATAGGTGTGTTAACATGGGAGTCCCTGTATAGTATGATACACAATACTCAATATATCTGGTGTTACCGAGCTGCATCTCACATCAACGGAATGACTTGTATCACCCAATCCCCCATAGTCAAGGTCTTGGTATATCGGTGTTATTCCGATAATCTTTGACAAATTTTGTCCATGCCTTTTCTTTTGAATTCACTGAAAGGCATGTTTTCCTCAGATATGACAGATGACCTGATATGAAAAAATATGTGGCACATTATCACCTTGTGTAAAGTCTGGAAGGTAATTTAAGGTACCGATGTTTACTACAATATCTGCAAAACTCTCGGACCTACTCCAGTCAAAGTTGGCATGAGATTATTAAACAGTCATACACAACTAGATATTACATTTAAAGACAATCGGTGCATGAATAAAAAATCTGTGTATTTAGCTATCACTATATTTCATCAACAACCAGACCTGTTCGTCACGGGTGGAACGAGCATTCATTGAAACAGCCATCTGCATAATGCTACCCCTGCGTCACAGGGCCAATATGACACAGTTGAACCAATCAACTCAACTCGAAAGGGTGCACGGGAATCATGCACGTTTGGGACGCCCAACGCTAACACCGTATTCGTGCTATAGGGAATCAGTGACTGGACGAGTGTCTGACTGAGTCAGCATTACAGAAGTCACACCATAGATGTCCAAAGTGCTATGTTCCACTTCCAGACTACCTCTTGGAGCAGAGAATGCATAACCATCAATCACTGAAATTTAAAATAATAAAGCTGCTAAGAACAGTATTTCAGTTATATCACAGCGTAGCGAGGGAGGAAAGCCCAAGGTGAAGCAGTCCTCAACATTTCCCACTTTCGTGAAACCACCAAGCAATGGTAAGGTGCTGAGAAACCAACAATTGTATTCCAGGTGTCAATATACACGATCATAAGGGACACATTTCTGCCAAGTGAATTGCATCACTTTAGATGAATGGGTCCCCAATGCCGCCATAGCTTGCATAAAATTATTGATTGGTTGACTTTTCTCCACTGAGATGATTGATTGAACAGTATCCAGCGATACACTGCAAGGGATGTGTGTGCAGCAGTTAATGTGAGGATGCTCAGGTGACACCACACAGAATGATGAGATTGTCCTGTCAGCACTCTTTCACCATGTATCATAACATTTTCTTGACTGACACAGACATGACAATAAGGTAGTAGTACACAGTAGCTGCCTTCATAGCATGACAACACTAATTCACACTACTACATTCACACCACAAGCAAAGTTAGAAATAACTGAACCCAGAGCCATCAAACTTTCAAATAGAGATCTTTCGATGTGCAAAAGAAACAAAACCTATCGATGAGAAAACTGCTGCTCTACCTGCTCAAGAAACCTGGTGCACAAATCACAAGGTGAAAAAAGTTCAAATGTTTTACAAAACAAAAAGCATGCAGAATATTATGTAGAAATGTAGGTATATTTGATAAATTACAACATGGTTTAAACATGTATTCAATGAATAAATATCTAAACTTTCCATCTGAATATGTTATGCTATACAGCAACATACAAACAATTGGCCATGTGAACGGTCACACATTACCATAGGTTGAAACAAGGCTGACACTATGTACAGGGAACAAGGTACTGTGATATAACAGATGCAACAACTAGTTATTTCTTCTTAGCACTTCGGAGGCACAACCAGTTAGGTTTGACACAGTTAATAGCTTTGGTTCGTAACAGAGTAGTGGGGAACCATCCATCGGACAGTAGACAAACTGACAAAACCTGCTTGAGAAAACCCAGGCTGGATATTGTACAAGAACTTCCAGCAAAGCTGATTTCTGAAAGCGCTCATAGAATCGCCAGGAAAACAAATTGACAGTCCTAACATGTATCACACTAGTACATCAGGAGGACAATATCTGACAATATCATCAGAACATAAACAGTCCTCTAACAGTCACTCTATCAGACAGCCAGACAGTTGTAATGTACAGACAGTTGGACATGGAGTCCGACAAGACATGGAAGCACCTGTTACAGGCGAGGAGGGCAGTGGTATTGTCACCGTTTTGAACTGCTCAGTGGTTTTGATGAAATACTTAACTGGTATCGGCACAACTCATCAAAATACCACCCACACAGTTAAGAAGTAAACTTTTCACAAATAATAAATGTTAAGACATCAATGAGGAATTAAGAAAAAAAACACTCCTATCCACTGCAATTTTGTGGGTCATCAGGGTGGAAATGTTTCATCTAATATGTGTGCTGAGGTTTCTGAGGCAAATCCTTTATTCTCCAAGGTTGTTGTCAATAACCTTATATTCTTGGGTGTTTCCATTTGTATTTAAGTAAGGTGCATTGTTCAAGGCAAAGATATTATGATCTTATAGAAGTGGTATTACAAGGACCATCTGAATCAAACAGATTCAAACTTGTGATACCATACTTGGTGGAAGTGCTTTCATACCCTCTCGTAAAGTCTGACAACAGTTAGAAATGTTCATTCTACCCAGATTGTCTTGGGTATACCAGTAATAGATGAGATCTGTAGACAGGACTACAGGTGAACTCAATATCCATGAACGTTCAGCTTGACTTTTCTTATCGTGTCGCCAATGGCTTTATTTTTTTATCATCAGAGATATCAGAATTATGCCTTGGGCTAGTCTAGTTTTCCTTTTAGGTGTATTTAGTGCTAATCACCTTGCCTTTCCTCTAACATATATTTTATATAGTCAGCACATCCATAAACCAATATCTAACATGGTCTTGCTGTCACAGCAGATACTGTCTTTGACTGAGAACCAAGAATATAGGTTTAATTGTGTATGTAGCAAGGACTCAGGATGCAGTTACTGCCATTATCTAAGGTATGCAGGTCTTTAGGCAGCATGTTATGAATGTATAAGAATATGAGGAAGAGGGAAGAGCAGGCCATTAGGTTCGTTCTAGTAACATGAGAAAGGCAGTATCTGCAGAAATTTATACCACAAGAGGTAGGTTCAAGTTGAATTGATGGCAAATGTGACATGTGGTAATGGAAGTATGAGGTTACATGGTTCAGTCTTTCAAGTCCACAGAAGCCGACATACTGTTAGGTTTAGTATGTAAATATTTAATGCTACACATGAACCTTTTGATAACATTTCATCCTGGGACTGCCACCAAACATTAAATTGTTCACAAGGATCTCTATTCTGCCATCCTATTTATGCTAGATTCTTGAAGCAACTGAAAGTTTCTCATTAACCCAGTGTATTTACTCCATTCTATTTTGATAAACACATTTGCCACCATAACTTTGTTTTTTTAGTTCCATTTGCATGACATGATGCTAAAATAACTGTTCAATAAAATTACAGTTTCCTTATCAAAACAAGAGGTAAAACTTGCAGTACTTGACTCATTTTAATGTAATGTCTCAAATGCAACTTGAACACCTGGTAGCATAGAGACTTTCCTGTCCATGTCTTAGTACTCAGGAAAACATCATTTATGATAATCGTTTCATTTGATTAACATGCTTCAATATATCAAGGGCTTGCTGAGATGAGATCACACTATTTAATGTTGATATCTGTCGAACCCATGCTCAGAATACAGAATTCTTGTTTATTTAAGCTCACGAGTGAAAGAATTATGTGCCAAGGAAGTGATGAGATATGGAGTTGGTAACAAAACAAAGCTATGATGGCGGCGGATGGGTTGAGTGTATCTACCATAATAGAATGGAGACAGGATGCACAGGATAACTGGGGATCCTGCAATAGTCACTGTTTTTCAGTAGCTATATGTTCACACAAATATTCAGTGACTAATCATTTCTGAATACAATATCAACATTAAACACTCAAACAAGAATAGAAATCACACATCAAGGCATGTAATCCACAACAGGGATATTGTCATCTTATCAAAGCCTGTGAAGATATTAATCACAGTGCACACACCATGTACATCTTTGGTTAAACATGTTCAGTTGTTCACAAGGTCCTTCTGTAACCAGGCAGCACCATTAGGGAAGGGATGTTATCACTGTGACAACAAATAAAACCTGTCGTCATCTCAATCTCACAATCAGGCAAATATTTCTGTTGAATCCTGTAACCATGGTAACATTGCTCTCAAAATCAGGTTTGGAAAATATTTCAAAACAGCAACATTTGGACTTAGGCAGCCTTTTCCTCATGTTTCTGAACTAGTGCAAAGTCCATGTAGACATGTTTCATTGAATAATAGTCCAATAGAGATGGTTCAGTAAGTAAGTAGGCCCACATGGTCTATTGGAATGACAATCTGTTTTAGGCCTTCAGAAACACTCCACAGTATATTCTAAACCTACACCAAACACTATTCTCAAACACATCACGAAACAATGACGTGGAGAGTACATCATTTTGGCAGAAAGTGATGAATGATAAAAATATGTTTTTGATGTCTCCAGAAAATACATGATGGAATAGAATGGTGATTGAATGAGATGGAAGGAATGAGTTTTTGAGATGCTATGCCTGTACAGTGCCTTGATGACCCATAGCATCATGCTGGAAATGTCATGCATGGTAACCATCACAGTCTACATGATAATACTCAGTTCAAAAATATGCCATCATCATGTCATGCAGTTGTGTTTCACTGATGATGGCAGCACCTGAGAACAAAGACATTTGAACATGTTTACAGTTGGTGAATCATTCTCAACATCGCATATAGTTGTAGGCTGTAAACCACCAAGTGGAATTACCTCCCTTGAATGCTGGTGTCAGTTTTGGTAAATTTGTAGTCTAGCATGTGGTCTGTCTGTAAACTACCACAGCAAATTACCTCCCTTGAATTGTGACATCAGTACTGGTAACATAGACTGGATGGTGTTTGAAGTAAATACAATCATAGGAAAGACCCAACTTGCTGCAGTTGTCCGAGGTGTTGAAGATGCTGTGACACCTTATCCCTCTGAACCACGTAACGACCATGAGGGCACAATCACAAGACATGGCTCTCATGGCCTGTAAAAATACAGATGGCATTTTTTGGTAAACAAAACAGAGCTTTCATCCACATCATCTCAGGAGCCAACCTCTGTCATCATTAACAACACAGATTTCGAGAAAATCATAAATATTTTAACCTCTTCATTTACCAGCTAGAGCATTTACTTAAAATCCAATGCTGATCCAACCTTCTCCCCATCACAAGTTGGATCACCCATCCTTATGTTTAATTTCTAACTATCCATATGCTTACCATCAAAACAAAGCATGATAGCCAAGGTGTCCTGTGAGGAGTTAAAGTGTCTCCAGATTCAAAATCTATAGCAACAAGCGGGGAACTCAGGATTTACAATATTTTACATGGAATGATTTATACCATCAATGTTATGCAAACAATTTCTCTAAACAGCATTCTTGTTTGTTGCGTGCGATGGACTGACAAAACAGAGCTCCTTAGCATGCAGCTTCTGTTAGGAATGTGTAAAATTGATCACATCTTCAAAGTCAATTTTCTTCTTGAATATCATTTCAAACATACCAAAGTTGATCTCTAGATTTGATATTCCATGTATTCCAGGCAGTTGACAAGGTCAACCATCACGTTTACAGGTGAAATAAAGCATTCTACTTCCCAACTACTTTTCTTCAAAACCTTTAGTACAGAACCAACTGATGGGCACGAATTCACACAGAATACCCCATATCAATGAACATCAGAGGGCACATTAATATGGTTATTATGGTTATTATGCAACATTCTGCCCTCATGACAAACAATGAACATGGGTTAGTTACTTGATTTGATTATAGTGATTATCAAGGTTTCTTTGTGAAGTTGGTGTTGTTTTTGGCATGCTTGGCACTGTGAAGATTTGATCAGTTGTCTGACATTGCCATATTATCTAGTCAAGGTACAACAATAAATATTGAGCACTTCTTACACATTCAATGATCATACAGCTTGTTTAGTAGCCACAAAAGCAGACATATCCACTGATATCTGCAAATTTTTGGTGGGGACATACAATCCATGACTTTGTCTTCACATCCATGGTGGCCCTATCGTGATGGACAAACTATGACTTGTCTTGAAGTGAAATCACTGACTTATCCTGACTTGGAATCCATGGCCCTCTTGTGATGTGCAATCCATGACTTGTCCTGACTTACAATCCATGACTGTGTCTTCACAAGGAAGCCATGGCTCTCTTGTGACATACAATCCACAATACATTGGCCTTTTGTGATGTACAATCCATGACATGTCCTGACTTACAATCCATGACATGTCCTGACTTACAATCCATGACTCATTAATAGCAAACCATGGCTCTCTTGTGACATACAATCCACATATACCCTTTTGTGATGTACAATCGAGGCTTTATCTTCATGTGCAATCCATTGAATCATCTGGACGTATCCATTTAGTTCAGAGAGCCAGACAGTAGTGTAGCGGGTGAGAGCACCAGTAGTTGTGTTGATTTGAGCGGCAGTAGGCCTGCCAGCAGAGTTCAGTCAGCCTGAAGGTTACACTAGGAATCCCTACAATATGTTTCCAACATGCAGATAAGTCTCATGACTTATTTCCAGATAAAGTCATGTGTCATCTGCCATCCTGGTTCAGAGAATTAACAGCAGAAACACCTGCATCTTGATTCAGATAAGCAGCAAGCCAGTACAAGAAAGGCAAGTCACCTTGGGTTTCAGAAACACACAAAGAGCTGTAAGCGAGTTGACCACTTTTGCCATTTCGGTTTAGATATACATCAAGCTTGTCCAACAAAATACCTGCCCTCCAACATCGGCAAGGGAGTCACAGAAAAGTCTGCTCCACCAGCAGCAGCGGCAGCAGCAGCATGGAGTGCATGTCGGTCTACTGGCCACCAGCTACACATGAACGTCAGTGCATCAGCAACACTGCACTTGGGCCTGTACTATGCTGACTGAACAACTTTGATAACATTCTTTAGTTTCTCAATAGTCAATTGTGTTTCACTTGTCGTTGCTAATAAGTGTTGATTTTTTTCCACTTGTTCCTGAAAAGAAATTAAAAGACGAACTTAATGTGGGATTATTTCAACTGTAGTCTGAAAGAGAAACACAATGATTGATCAACTGCAGAGAAATCTAGTCAATATAAACTGGTGCTAATCATGCTGATTCACACGAGTCAATCAATGCTTTGCATAAAGTCACAAAGCCCTGATGCAACCCCACAACTTGGATCAGAACACAAGATGGTTATACTTTCTTCCTCAACATTTTCAGAATGGTGTCAGTTTTAAGGCTTGAGTTAAATGAATTATATATACATAGCAAACCATAATGGTTTGATCCAGCAACAATACAACCTGAATGACAATCATAGCAACCAGCTCTGCTGGTTTGATTTAGTAGAACTGAACAGTACACTGTCACAGTTGGCAAACCAAAGGATGTCCATAGACAGCGCTAAGAGTTGCTCATGATGACAAGGCTGGTCTGTTTGACTATTGCATGGCCGTCTGAAGTGAGAATTCCTGTGCATGTTACCTTTCACAGTTCAGCATCTTGCAGTTGTTCAACTCAAAATCTTCCATCATTAAAGAGCATACACTGTAAGTCTATAAGGCAAGTCAAAAGGTAAATGACAGGGTTACTTACATTAAAAGAGTTATTCAACGATTTTGACTTGGCTTCCAGTTGTATTTTCTCGGTAGAAAGGTCGTTGGATTTCTTCTGCAGCTTCCTCTTCTCCTCTTCTTTAGCTGAAGGAATCACAGGACAACGTTAGAAAGTCACAAGTATTGGAGGCAGTGAGTGTGTGAGTAAGGATCTGGCATTAACACCACTTTGAACAGTACTTCAGCTATATCACAGCATGTCAGCTTAATGTGGGAGGTAAGCCTGGTGATGCAAGTTGTTCATCCTGCTGATGAAAGCAAGGTTCATACAGATATAGAACACTAAATCTCAAGGCCTTTTCAAGGTTTCCATCATTTTCAAGGCTTTTTTAGTTTTGTCAATATTTTATTAAATCCAGCATACCATTTATTTGTTGTAAGACCTAAAAAGCAGTATGAACATCACACATCACACAAGATTGTTAGATTCACTCAAAGAAAAGATAAAATAGCTCCGTCCTGAATTCTTCAGGGTCTTTGGCACAAAAATCTATCACTGTGATAAATCTCACTGAAATCTTTGGTACATATATTTGTGTCTTTTAATACTTTGATTAACAAGAATATGTCCTTTTGTACAAATTCAAGGCTTTTCAAGCTATTTTGGTGATTTTCAAGACTCTTCAATGTTGACACTTAACATAAAGGCATTTAAAGGTTTTTTTTAAGCCTGTACAAACCTTAAAAAGCCATGAGCACAGGATCCGTGCAGACAAACTAAGATCATAATAAAACCCATGATCATTTCTTAAAGACAATTCCCAGTGAACTGCGGGACCCCACAAGACGAAGCGAACCCCAGGACAAGGTTAGAATGTCATTAGTTTCGGCCACTCAGATCACATCTAGTTATCTCTGCTCAGATTTTGTAAGAAAAGCTCAACATCAATGTATCAACACTAAGTCAAGTCAAGTGACAAGTTCGAGCTGGAGGAATGAAATTATGTTTTGGGCATGTGAAAATGGAATTGCATGACAAAGTTAGGATGTCACAAGCATAGACACCATCTGCTCTGGCTTCCAACTAGGAATGTACAAGACCTTGAGTGTGACGTTACCAGGTTTGGTTGCAATGTGGGATTGTACAAGACCTTGAGTGACACATTACCTGCTTTGGTTGCAATGTAGGATTGTACAAGACCTTGAGTGTGACGTTACAAGGTTTGGTTGCAATGTAGGAATGTACAAGACCTTGAGTGTCACATTACCTGCTTTTGTTGCAATGTGGGAATGTACAAGACCTTGAGTGTGACGTTACCTGCTTTTGTTGCAATGTAGGAATGTACAAGAGCCAGAGTCTCTGCTGACCCAGCCCAATTTTTGTTGGAGGCCTGCAACAAAAGAATCGGGAATTTTTTATACAAATTCATATCATAACATTTGGAAACTTAAGTTAATTTGGAGGTACCACTGATTCTGCAAAGATATAGGAATCTGTGGGTTAGATCATATCATCTGTTTAACCTCTTTAACAACACTTCAATGGACTTAAAATAAACAGAGATACCGTATTCACTAGGGCTGCAATGAACACACTATGAGGCAAATACGATTCGTATCACAAATATAGGGTAACGAATACGAATATTAATTCACGAACACAATAACAATTCAGCAGCTGATGTATTATTTGTTATATACAGTGAAGCAATACCAGCATAAATTATTGAACATGGTTTGTTAATAATTAATATATTATACATTTATATACTGCACTTATCCAGGTACTAGTATCTGCTCAAATTTCACAATAACCAGTTACCACAATACTGTCAAATTAAATAGTATAAGAGTGTTGTCTTTTGAAGAAATCTATGCATATAATATGTTCTTATGGGTAATTTTATGTAAATGCACATGCTTGCATATTCATAAATATTCGATTCTATTGGCCACGATTAACAAATTCAATTCATGAATGGATACGGTTTGATTCACCGAATACATGAGTGAATCGTAAAAGCCCTAGCATGGGGGTACTTATAAAGATTACTTACACATTGGTCTAGCAGTTGGTCAGGGGCACTTACAGGACACTTAATTCAGCAATTATGGTACTTAAATTAATTGTCTTTATGGCCAATGGTTACCTACCTGGACCTAACCATAACATATCCCGCTATTGATATAAAGACAGGTGGATAGTTTTCAGACAGTTTAGGTGATACACCATTCTTCACTCACCTGACACTTGGGACAACTCCAGGACACCTGGGCTACAGTTGTGAGGGGTGGGTTCACACAGTCCAGGTGATACACCATTCTACACTTACCTGACACTTGGGACAACTCCAGGAAACCTGGGCTACAGTTGTGAGGGGTGGGTTCAGACAGTCAAGGTGATACACCATTCTACACTTACCTGACACTTGGGACAACTCCAGGAAACCTGTGCTACAGTTGTGAGGGGTGGGTTCACACAGTCCAGGTGATACACCATTCTTCACTCACCTGACACTTGGGACAACTCCAGGAAACCTGAGCTACAGTTGTGAGGGGTGAGTTCACACAGTCCAGGTGATACACCATTCTACACTCACCTGACACTTGGGAAAACTCCAGGAACCCTTGGGTACATTTGTGAGGGGTGGGTTCACACAGTCCAGGTGATACACCATTCTTCACTCACCTGACACTTGGGACAACTCCAGGAACCCAGGGGTACATTTGTGAGGGGTGGGTTCAGACAGTCCAGGTGATACACCATTCTTCACTCACCTGACACTTGGGACAACTCCAGAAAACCTGGGGTACATTTGTGAGGGGTGGGTTCACACAGTCCAGGTGATACACCATTCTTCACTCACCTGACACTTGGGACAACTCCAGGAACCTTTGGGTACATTTGTGAGGGGTGGGTTCACACAGTCCAGGTGATACACCATTCTTCACTCACCTGACACTTGGGACAACTCCAGGAACCCTTGGGTACATTTGTGAGGGGTGGGTTCAGACAGTCCAGGTGATACACCATTCTTCACTCACCTGACACTTGGGACAACTCCAGGAAACCTGTGCTACAGTTGTGAGGGGTGGGTTCAGACAGTCCAGGTGATACACCATTCTACACACACCTGACACTTGGGACAACTCCAGGAACCCAGGGGTACATTTGTGAGGGGTGGGTTCAGACAGTCCAGGTGATACACCATTCTTCACTCACCTGACACTTGGGACAACTCCAGGAACCCTTGGGTACATTTGTGAGGGGTGGGTTCAGACAGTCCAGGTGATACACCATTCTACACACACCTGACACTTGGGACAACTCCAGGAACCCAGGGGTACATTTGTGAGGGGTGGGTTCAGACAGTCCAGGTGATACACCATTCTTCACTCACCTGACACTTGGGACAACTCCAGGAACCCTTGGGTACATTTGTGAGGGGTGGGTTTAGACAGTCCAGGTGATACACCATTCTTCACTCACCTGACACTTGGGACAACTCCAGGAACCCTTGGGTACAGTTGTGAGGGGTGGGTTCAGACAGTCCAGGTGATACACCATTCTTCACTCACCTGACACTTGGGACAACTCCAGGAACCCTTGGGTACATTTGTGAGGGATGGGTTCACACAGTCCAGGTGATATACCATTCTTCACTCACCTGACACTTGGGACAACTCCAGGGACCCAGGGGTACAGTTGTGAGGGGTGGGTTCAGACAGTCCAGATGATACACCATTCTACAGGAGCTACATAACAGCAACTCTCCTTCCTTCCCACAAACAGCACAGAAGTCATCATGCACTTCAGCCTGGTAGACAAACAGTTGGAATTATGTTACATGACGAAACTGCATCCTCCTGAATTTTGCATCATGATTTAGTCTGGACAAGGAAAACCCCTCAGGCCATAATGACTTAGTCAATATATTTTCATTCCAACCTGCCTCAATACCATACACAAAACATGCCTAACATTTGTCACCTACAAAGAAAGTTGCTACATTTCTTTACTGTGACCGTAAACATGCTAAGTAAACATGTTGTTGATAAGTAAACAACATTTTCCATGTACACATGATGTATAGTGTCAACCACATTAGTAAAGCAAGGGTAAGATATAGCGATCAACACCTTCTTTATTACAATTAGTGACGTTTCAGTTTAGGTTCGAACACATCTATGAAGCAAGTGTCCTACGCTATAGCCACTATCCCACTGCTCCATTACACTATACCATGTTTAAATTATCACCACGGCCTTCATCATGTTCATAATGGAGGATTCAGATATGCTAAACTTGGACAGAGATAGCTTATCCCTGGTTTGACTTCAAAGGTTTCAAAAACAGTGAACTATGGTTATAACAAACTCAAAGTTTAGTTCGTTATAGGTTTTAATACAGCCCATATACAGCAAATGGCCAGGGCCAAAAGACCAGTTCATTATATCTGTCAGTTCGTTATAAGCATGTTCGTTATAAACGTAGTTTACTGTATATGTGAAAACAATTACTTACAGGGTTACCCAAGAATTCATCTTTATCATATCATTCCAAAACAATATGCACAGTAAACTGGACGGTGTCGTTGCCAGTGAAAAAATGTGGATTATATTTTGTCTTCACAAATCAACAGATGGTCCTTTGTATAATGTAGACCTCATCAGAAAATCTTACTTCCTGGGTTTCACTGTATATCAAACACTGAAACTTTGACAGCTGTCAAGATTTGAGCACTGTCCTGACAGACTTACCTCCCCTGAACCATTGCGCATGATGTTGTTCTTGTAGAGCATGCCATTGTGTGGACTGTCGGGCGTCGTGGGGCGGCTGTTGTTGGGGGAGGGACCGTGTTTCGGAGGCCGACCTACGGGTTTTAAGAACATTGCCGTGATTGCCGGCCTATAGCTTATAAGAACATTCTCCATTTATCTGAGTAGTGGATACAACCTTGATCTCTGACAACATCACAAATGGAGGTCTTGAACAGATCTTAATAAGTAAATATCTGTCATCTTAGGTTGGTTTGTTGTCACAGCAGCCTGTGAAGTGTTGAATCTGGCCCAGGTAAACCAGATGTTCATCAACGATGCATTCAGTCAGGATACAATCTGTGAAGATCCACATTAGAATAGGCCTTCAGCAACCCATACTTGCCATATGAGGTGACTATGCTTGTCGTAAGAGGTGACTAATGGGATCGAGTTGTCAGATTCACTCACTTGGTTGATGCATGTCATCATTTCCAGTAACATGGATCGATGCTCGTGGCATCAATCACTGGATTATCTGGTTCCAGACTCGATTATTTACAGACAGCATCAAATAGCTGGAATATTGCATAGTGCGGCATTAAACAATTAACAAACATCTGGTCTTAGCATGAGGTACTTGGGACCTACTCTGATTCGGGGCCCCCACAGGGACTTATAGTTTCTTCATTCCAAACATACAATGTGTGAAGCCCATTTCTGGTGTCCCCCGCTGTGATATTGCTGGAATATTGCTAAAAGCGGCGTAAAACCATACTCACTCACTCATTCCAAACATTATCACAATTTCAAGTAGATTATAGCAGAATCATATCAAGATATTTGTTTCAGGTAAAACTTGAGAGGTAACATGTTGTTATGCTGGTACACAAAGTAGAGGGTGTGTCACATTTTCACACAGGTCGATAGATTGGATTTCTATGTTATTGAGCACAAGTGTGCACTTATTCACAGCTCCCCAGGATCCAGCGTTACTCACCTCTCGGCCTCTTGACCCCTGGTGGCAGTGGATTCAGCAGATAGTGGGACACCCTCTTTCTCTGATGGCACAAAACAAACACCAAGTTACTTGCTGTCTTACATATACACATGACTATAGTTATAGATAGTTATATGAGAGGGGAATAATATATTGTACATATTGTATCAGCAATAATATAACTACGATGTATCAGCAACAATACAGCCATGATGTACAGGTTGTATCAGCAACAATACAGCCATGATGTACATGTTGTATGAACAACAAGACAGCCATGATGTACATGCTGTATCAGCAACAATACAGCCATGATGTACATGCTGTATCAGCAACAATACAGCCATGATGTACATGCTATATCAGCAAAAATACAGTCATGATGTACATGCTGTATCAGCAACAATACAGCCATGGTTTAAATGCTGTATCAGCAAAAATACAACCATGATGTACATGTTGTATGAACAACAATACAGCCATGGTGTACATGTTGTATGAACAACAATATAGCCATGATGTACATGTTGTATGAACAACAATACAGCCATGGTTTACATGCTGTATGAACAACAATACAGCCATGATGTACATGCTGTATGAACAACAATATAGCCATGATGTTCATGTTGCATGAACAACAATATAGCCATGATGTACATGCTGTATCAGCAACAATACAGCCATAGGGTACATGCTGTATGAACAACAATACAGCCATGATGTACATGTTGTATGAACAACAATATAGCCATGATGTACATGCTGTATGAACAACAATACAGCCATGATGTACATGTTGTATGAACAACAATATAGCCATGATGTACATGTTGTATGAACAACAATATAGCCATGATGTACATGTTGTATGAACAACAATACAGCCATGATGTATATGTTGTATGAACAACAATACAGCCATGATGTACATGTTGCATGAACAACAATACAGCCATGGTGTACATGCTGTATCAGCAACAATACAGCCATGATGTACATGTTGTATCAGCTACAATACAACAATGGTGTACATGCTGTATCAACAACAATACAGCCATGATGTATATGCTGTATCAGCAACAATACAGCCATGATGTACATGTTGTATCAGCTACAATACAACAATGGTGTACATGCTGTATGAACAACAATACAGCCATGATGTATATGCTATATCAGCAACAATACAGCCATTGTGTACATATTGTATGAACAACAATACAGCCATGATGTACATGCTGTATCAGCAACAATACAGCCATGATGTACATGCTGTATCAGCAAAAATACAGCCATGATGTACATGCTGTATCAGCAAAAATACAACCATGATGTACATGCTGTATCAGCAACAATACAGCCATGGTTTACATGCTGTATCAGCAAAAATACAACCATGATGTACAGGTTGTACGAACAACAATACAGCCATGGTGTACATGCTGTATAAACAACAATACAGCCATGATGTACATGCTGTATTAACAACAATACAGCCATGATGTACATGTTGTATGAACAACAATACAGCCATGGTGTACATGCTGTATTAACAACAATACATACATGATGTACATGCTGTATTAACAACAATACAGCGATGGTGTACATGCTGTATGAACAACAATACAGCCATGGTGTACATGCTGTATTAACAACAATACAGTCATGATGTACATGTTGTATGAACAACAATATAGCCATGATGTACATGTTGTATGAACAACAATACAGCCATGATGTACATGTTGTATGAACAACAATATAGCCATGATGTACATGCTGTATCAGCAACAATACAGCCATGGTTTACATGCTGTATCAGCAAAGATACAACCATGATGTACATGTTGTATGAACAACAATACAGCCATGGTGTACATGTTGTATGAACAACAATATAGCCGTGATGTACATGCTGTATGAACAACAATACAGCCATGATGTACATGTTGTATGAACAACAATATAGCCATGATATACATGTTGTATGAACAACAATATCGCCATGATGTACATGTTGTATGAACAACAATACAGCCATGATGTACATGTTGTATCAGCTACAATACAACAATGGTGTACATGCTGTATGAACAACAATACAGCCATGATGTATATGCTATATCAGCAACAATACAGCCATTGTGTACATATTGTATGAACAACAATACAGCCATGATGTACATGCTGTATCAGCAACAATACAGCCATGATGTACATGCTGTATCAGCAAAAATACAGCCATGATGTACATGCTGTATCAGCAAAAATACAACCATGATGTACATGCTGTATCAGCAACAATACAGCCATGGTTTACATGCTGTATCAGCAAAAATACAACCATGATGTACAGGTTGTACGAACAACAATACAGCCATGGTGTACATGCTGTATAAACAACAATACAGCCATGATGTACATGCTGTATTAACAACAATACAGCCATGATGTACATGTTGTATGAACAACAATACAGCCATGGTGTACATGCTGTATTAACAACAATACATACATGATGTACATGCTGTATTAACAACAATACAGCGATGGTGTACATGCTGTATGAACAACAATACAGCCATGGTGTACATGCTGTATTAACAACAATACAGTCATGATGTACATGTTGTATGAACAACAATATAGCCATGATGTACATGTTGTATGAACAACAATACAGCCATGATGTACATGTTGTATGAACAACAATATAGCCATGATGTACATGCTGTATCAGCAACAATACAGCCATGGTTTACATGCTGTATCAGCAAAGATACAACCATGATGTACATGTTGTATGAACAACAATACAGCCATGGTGTACATGTTGTATGAACAACAATATAGCCGTGATGTACATGCTGTATGAACAACAATACAGCCATGATGTACATGTTGTATGAACAACAATATAGCCATGATATACATGTTGTATGAACAACAATATCGCCATGATGTACATGTTGTATGAACAACAATACAGCCATGATGTACATGTTGTATCAGCTACAATACAACAATGGTGTACATGCTGTATGAACAACAATACAGCCATGATGTATATGCTATATCAGCAACAATACAGCCATTGTGTACATATTGTATGAACAACAATACAGCCATGATGTACATGCTGTATCAGCAACAATACAGCCATGATGTACATGCTGTATCAGCAAAAATACAGCCATGATGTACATGCTGTATCAGCAAAAATACAACCATGATGTACATGCTGTATCAGCAACAATACAGCCATGGTTTACATGCTGTATCAGCAAAAATACAACCATGATGTACAGGTTGTACGAACAACAATACAGCCATGGTGTACATGCTGTATGAACAACAATACAGCCATGGTGTACATGCTGTATTAACAACAATACATACATGATGTACATGCTGTATTAACAACAATACAGCGATGGTGTACATGCTGTATGAACAACAATACAGCCATGGTGTACATGCTGTATTAACAACAATACAGTCATGATGTACATGTTGTATGAACAACAATATAGCCATGATGTACATGTTGTATGAACAACAATACAGCCATGATGTACATGTTGTATGAACAACAATATAGCCATGATGTACATGCTGTATCAGCAACAATACAGCCATGGTTTACATGCTGTATCAGCAAAGATACAACCATGATGTACATGTTGTATGAACAACAATACAGCCATGGTGTACATGTTGTATGAACAACAATATAGCCATGATGTACATGCTGTATGAACAACAATACAGCCATGATGTACATGTTGTATGAACAACAATATAGCCATGATATACATGTTGTATGAACAACAATATCGCCATGATGTACATGTTGTATGAACAACAATACAGCCATGATGTACATGTTGTATGAACAACAATACAGTCATGATGTACATGTTGTATGAACAACAATATAGCCATGATGTACATGTTGCATGAACAACAATACAGCCATGATGTACATGCTGTATCAGCAACAATACAGCCATGATGTACATGTTGTATCAGCTACAATACAACCATGATGTACATGCTGTATGAACAACAATACAGCCATGATGTACATGCTGTATCAGCAAAAATACAGCCATGATGTACATGCTGTATCAGCAACAATGCAGCCATGGTTTACCTGCTGTATCAGAAAAAATACAACCATGATGTACATGTTGTATGAACAACAATACAGCCATGGTGTACATGTTGTATGAACAACAATATAGCCATGATGTACATGCTGTATGAACAACAATACAGCCATGATGTACATGTTGTATGAACAACAATATAGCCATGATGTACATGCTGTATGAACAACAATACAGCCATGATGTACATGCTGTATCAGCAACAATACAGCCATGGTTTACATGCTGTATCAGCAACAATACAACCATGATGTACATGTTGTATGAACAACAATACAGCCATGGTGTACATGTTGTATGAACAACAATATAGCCATGATGTACATGTTGTCTGAACAACAATATAGCCATGATGTACATGTTGTATGAACAACAATACAGCCATGGTTTACCTGCTGTATCAGCAAAAATACAACCATGATGTACATGTTGTATGAACAACAATACATCCGTGACGTACATGCTGTATCAGCAACAATTCATCCATGATGTACAGGTTGTATGAACAACAATACAGCCATGATGTACATGTTGTATGAACAACAATACAGTCATGATGTACATGTTGTATGAACAACAATACAGTCATGAAGTACATGTTGTATGAACAACAATACAGCCATGATGTACATGCTGTATCAGCAACAATATAGCCATGATGTACATGCTGTATCAGCAACAATACAGCCATGATGTACAAGTTGTATGAACAACAATACAGCCATGATGTACATGTTGTATGAACAACAATACAGTCATGATGTACATGTTGTATGAACAACAATACAGCCATGATGTACATGTTGTATGAACAACAATACAGCCATGGTGTACATGCTGTATCAGCAACAATACAGTCATGATGTACATGTTGTATGAACAACAATACAGTCATGATGTACATGTTGTATGAACAACAATACAGCCATGATGTACATGTTGTATGAACAACAATACAGCCATGATGTATATGTTGTATGAACAACAATACAGCCATGATGTATATGTTGTATGAACAACAATACAGCCATGATGTACATGTTGTATGAACAACAATATAGCCATGATGTACATGTTGTATGAACAACAATACAGCCATGATGTATATGTTGTATGAACAACAATACAGCCATGATGTACATGCTGTATCAACAATAATACAGCTATTCAGTTGCCTTCCATGACAAACATGGGAAAATTGATGACAATTCTTCTCCGTTATCCAACAGGATGATACTTGTGTGACTCAAAACCAAGAATTAATTTATAAAGCTGTAAATGTTAAAGACACACAGTAAACTAAATCTTAGAAATCTGTTTGTTTCTTACTCTGGCATGTATTTACAAATGCAGGCTTGCAACTTTCAAAATTAGCAAGTCAAATTTAAGAGTTATCAGCCCGTCTGGCTGTTGGGAGTAAAATCTATTTCAGACACTGATCTTCCCCCACTTCCAATCTGATGGCCAGGTCAAGTTTCCCGTCCGTAGAAAATCACATGACCGGTACATTTTATCATTCAGTGAGTATAACACAAGATGAGTAATAAATACCTCAGGTTCAAAGTTATAACTGAATTGTGGGTTGGCAGTAGACCTCCGTTTTCTCTCTGTTCTCTTACACTGCAACTCTGAAACAGACAAACAGAGCACTCCATCAGTATCCATGCACATAGAAGACGATATTTCTCCTGGCACAACGAACCACCTAAACCATATAGTCCACAATACTTAGACCAACATGATACTGACAAAGCATTTTAGGTGACAACAAAAATAGTCTTCCTTCTCATAATATTTCAACATTCCTATGAAGAATTGAGTAAATCCATACCTTTCAATGCATCAGGAGTGACTAGATCCAAAGAAGCCATGAAGTCCATTTTCTGAAAGCCAAGCAACACTTCATCAATATGGCATCTCGGCACAATCATCTAAAGGTACCAACCAAAAGGCTTATGCAAAGTTATTCAGGAGATATATCAAAGATTATTTAACATTTTCCCCATCCATACCTGCTTCTGTTCTGGCTTGATCTGCTTCCTGTCCACAGACTTCCTGGAATCTCTGGTGACATCAGAGTCGGACACCCGTCTCTGTGGTGCTGAATTAGGGGGAGGCATATGGTTCTTGCTATTGACTAGGACAGGTTTCTGGCCCTGGAAAATCAATGCATGCACACAACTTCACATTGTTAGTTTGTTGTTTTACGTCCCTTACAGCACTATTCCAGCAATAACATGGCAGCCTGCAATAAACTAATTTGCATCCAGGCAAACAAGTGGTTGAATGTCCCAGCATGATGACCATCCATAGCAATCTATGTGCATATTGACTTACAATCAGCCAATCACCAGACCATAGGACCACCAGATCTCCATGTTTATCTGCCAACATGCATGAAGTACCGGAATCTCAACATAGGTTTTACATTGTTTCAACTAAGATAGCAAGAAGTGTTCAAGACAGTATTCGTTGTTCAATTGTGGAGACACTTAACAATCAATGTGGCTATTAATATTGTCATGCAGCACGTGGCGGAAAGCACAGTATATAAATAATCTAAATACAGGTAAACATGGCAAATGTTCCAATAACAACATCAGATTTACCATTTCACAGCGGATCAAAATTGGGCACTAACTGGATACTGTCCTCACGAACAAAACATCCAACTTATTTCTGTTGCTATTGTTATGAGGTTACTATATTATTAGTGGTATGCAAGAAGGGCTACAAGAGTTATGCCCCTTTGTAAACAGAGAGTTTGTTCCATATCACATAGTGTAGAAGATCAAGTATCCTTAGTTACAGTATGTATATATGTTCTTATTGATTGTGATGTCATGTACATGTGTTTAATTGTGTCGTGGTAATGTCAGTTAGGCTGGGGAGTCAGTTGTGACTGAGGATTTAGTAACGATACCACGTTTTGAGCTACAGTCATCATTGTTGTCATTATTGACTAATGATCTAGGATGAGGTGCAACACTAATATGTGCTACAAGTGTTACATATTATAATCCATACAGAAGACTTAATGGCATCTTGTGCCACTTCACTGCATTTTTAGGTGGCCAGTACGGAGGTTAGTAATCAAGCCTGGACCAGACAAACCAGTGGTTGATAGTGTGAGCAATGTCCATCAGGGTACAATGACTCGCTCAACCATAAAGCAGCCATTGTGATCAGCAAATCTGTTTTTAGTATGTTAAGTGACCTCTTAATTCAAACATTGGATACAGGTAACCAATGCTGTATAGGAATTCCCAAGAGCTTTCACCCATGATCACATGAAACTACCATCATGACAATATGAAATTCAATTTGAGAGTGAGAAAGGGTAACAAGAAATTTCACTGATATCAACTTCTTTACTAAAATATGAGCAACATCTCAGAATGAAAACAAAAATACCACACCACTGTATTTAACCATATTTCTTTTTGACACAAGTTCATAGAGAAGTTGTTACCAACCAAACTGCTTTGATACCATGTACTGTGATAATGATAAATACCTGAGCCCTTCTGTTGTAGCTCACCTGGACTGCTTTCGATGGAGCTGAGCTTACCACAGGGTACTGTGGGACTCTGATAGGTGGGGAGCTACCCCGCGGGGCAAGAGGCTTCAGGGCAGGTTTGATTGGCACCTGAGTTGTTGTGGCGATGTTGTTGACGATGTTGTTGACGATGTTGTTGACTGGTTGTTGTTTAGTGGTGTCGAGGCAGACTGTGAGGTCGGAGGGTTGACAGGCTGTGGCCGCCACAGGTAGCACCACGGCTTGACATGCCTGTTGGGAGAGGATCTAGTGGTACATATTATAGATTCCACCGAAAGGATCCTCGGTTATCCAGAATGATTATATCTCCATTCTATTATGATGAATACCCTGGACCAATTCATCATAGCGCTATGTTTTAAAGTGATGTCACTGTCTCCATCAATAACTTCTCACACCATGGCTGCTGTTACTGTACTCATACTGGACATTTCACTATGTAGGTGAGCAGTGTTATGTATTCACCATGGCTGATGTTACTGTACTGGACATTTCACTATGTAGGTGAGCAGTGTTATGTATTCACCATGGCTGATGTTACTGTACTGAACATTTCACTATGTAGGTGAGCAGTGTTATGTATTCACCATGGCTGATGTTACTGTACTGGACATTTCACTATGTAGGTGAGCAGTGTTACGTATTCACCATGGCTGATGTTACTGTACTGAACATTTCACTATGTAGGTGAGCAGTGTTACGTATTCACCATGGCTGATGTTACTGTACTGGACATTTCACTATGTAGGTGAGCAGTGTTATGTATTCACCATGGCTGATGTTACTGTACTGGACATTTCACTATGTAGGTGAGCAGTGTTACGTATTCACCATGGCTGATGTTACTGTACTGAACATTTCACTATGTAGGTGAGCAGTGTTATGTATTCACCATGGCTGATGTTACCGTACTGAACATTTCACTATGTAGGTGAGCAGTGTTACGTATTCACCATGGCTGATGTTACTGTACTGGACATTTCACTATGTAGGTGAGCAGTGTTATGTATTCACCATGGCTGATGTTACTGTACTGAACATTTCACTATGTAGGTGAGCAGTGTTATGTATTCACCATGGCTGATGTTACCGTACTGAACATTTCACTATGTAGGTGAGCAGTGTTACGTATTCACCATGGCTGATGTTACTGTACTGGACATTTCACTATGTAGGTGAGCAGTGTTATGTATTCACCATGGCTGATGTTACTGTACTGGACATTTCACTATGTAGGTGAGCAGTGTTATGTATTCACCATGGCTGATGTTACTGTACTGAACATTTCACTATGTAGGTGAGCAGTGTTATGTATTCACCATGGCTGATGTTACTGTACTGGACATTTCACTATGTAGGTGAGCAGTGTTATGTATTTACCATGGCTGATGTTACTGTACTGAACATTTCACTATGTAGGTGAGCAGTGTTACGTATTCACCATGGCTGATGTTACTGTACTGAACATTTCACTATGTAGGTGAGCAGTGTTACGTATTCATCATGGCTGATGTTACTGTACTGAACATTTCACTATGTAGGTGAGCAGTGTTACGTATTCACCATGGCTGATGTTACTGTCCTGAACATTTCACTATGTAGGTGAGCAGTGGTTTGCTTGTAATAATAACATTATTTGACAAGATCAAGTCATCAAACAGTGACCGAACATGACACAGTACTTAGTTAGAAGCACTAAAACTAGTGCTCATTTACATTGCCTAGTAGTGGGAGTTTCGTTATGAGATATATGTCATTGCTTCCGACATTTGCAGTGAACCTGACGTGACAGCAAACTATAATATTCCACATAATAATGAACCACTTTATTATGTTTCTTGTTTAACGCCGCACTCAGCAATATTCCAGCTATATGACAGCGGTCTGTAAATAATCGAGCCTGGACCAGACAATTCAGTGATTGATATAATGAGCATCGATCAGCACATTTGGGATCGATGAAATGCAGGAACCAGTATATTCACATAATTAACATGAACAAGGGACACTTGTATGTTACCAGCTTGCATTAATATGGTATATGAGTTGTACAACACTGTAGAATCAAGGATGGGATAAAGGCGGCAGTTATAGATCTGATGTCAACCCCAATGTGGAGCCATGTCAATATGAAGTCAAGGGATGTTGGCCATTTATTCTTATGGTTCTGCCATGTTTTCAACAAAGATTTAACATGTTTAAGAAACCCATTCATGTATTATTGGGGTTAAGACGTAAATATTCAAACAAGAAATATGTAAAATAAAGGCCAAACATTGATCCACATCTTGCACATAAAATTCATTTAAGTGTCTACTTTTCTTTAAAAGACGTTTTTTTTTATTAATCTGCATAGATGAAGTGATTAGATAGGGGTGGCATGTGGCAAACTGTACTGATATTCAGCATAACGGAAACATTTCTTTCTGTGTGTGTTTCAAGTAGTTTTGCGAATAATAACATTACTTTACCCATATATTTGTAAACTTTATATCACAGAAAGTGATGACTATTACTGGCTAGGATGTCTGTAATAACCCGTCATGCTTCCCCTCAAATGTTGATAAGCTGAGCCGAAAAAGGTACGTGACCAACTCACCTGTAGCTTGGAGTGAGCTGCAGGCACAGTGACACTGAAAGTAGTTGGCAGGATAACAGCCTGGGCCTGCACCTGGGTACATGCCACTAATGGAGGTTGCCCCATGGACAGCGCTGTCACAGGGGGTGGGGGGGTGGGGGCTAGACTTGTGGCTGGGACTGACACTTGCACTGCGATCTGCGTCGTAGGTACCACATTGGATATCTGTTTCTGAACCAGTTCCTTTCGTAAACTCTGCACAACAGCTTTCTGCAATAATCAAACAATTACATATTACAACATAGCAGATTTGATCATGCACAACAGGCTGATAGGCAGTAATAGCACTTGACATAACAGACAGGCCTGCTGGAATATGAGGTATTTACAAACAACCTTCAACAAGTTTCAGATTTGTTGCCAGCATTTTCTTCATCCTTCCCAAAGGCTAACAATATTCATAAACAATTTCACAAACCAATGTCACTCATAATCCTCGTTTACATTGGTAAACATTAATTCAGCCATATCTCAAGGTAGGGTTAACAGGACCTTACTATTGAAATCACAAGGGTCGAACTGAAATATTTGTATATCCTTCTATCATGTCTATCACAATTTTAACATCTACTCTCATTCAAATTTAATTATTATTGTTTTATAATAAAATATATCTATTATATTTCCCAACAATATGGACATAGGTGCTGGCTGTGCGGCCTTCATTCCTAGTTAGATACTGAGACTACTTCATAGCTTCTGGCCATCTGAACATATGCTGAACTTTAACCTTTTACCAATATTGAGAGTATCCAACTCCACATGTCTACAAACTAAATACAGCGGAAGTCCATCAACTATCCAACATCCACCTAGGACCAAGTTTGTATCGATGTATGTGTCTGCTAGCACCTTGCTTTATACATTCACAAGTGTTTGATAAATACAACTGGTCTGTAACAAAGCACACATTTGTTTTGTCTAACATTATTGCTAAGTGAGAACAGTCCTTGTCATATCAATTTTACAATTTCATGCGAGTTTCAAAAAAGGTATCAAAGAAATTTAGCTCCATTATCAACATTTGTTTAAGTAATCATCCTAAACAGTTAAAGCTGGAACAAGATAAGGTTTTGAACTCTGATCAGCTGACTCCAGAACCCCTAAATTAACAAAAACAAACAACATTTGTTTCCACATTCACATTACTCAGCGTTTTCATTCCCAAGTGACAGTAGATGACCAGAGACAGACTGACTGACACAATGCTTGGTTTGGACAATTGACTTGCCTTGGAAAGGTTGTAGCAACATCACGAGGGGTACAAGTTGTAGCAACATCACGAGGGGTACATGTTGGTTTTATGTGTCCCACGCTAGGTTTTATACAAGCCGGAGGTGAGTGGCATAAAACCTCATGAGGGATTCATAAAACCACATGTACTCCTCGTGATACTTCTACAACAAAATTTATCTTACGACATGTTTTAAACTGCCATTCTAATAGAATTAAAACAAATTCAAACTGGATAGAAAACAGCTGTTCGACTGAGCTGAGGTTAACTTGTGCGAAGTCACGTGACTTTTATTGACTTGGAAAAGGCGTGCAGCTTTTTGCTTCAAAGCGGGTGAAAGGGAATTTATTCTCCCGCTCAGAAATCCACATGAAGTTTGTCTTCTTTGAGGCAGGACAAAATAGATTTATTCCTCCGATCAAATATATTTCCTTAGTATTTCATCAAGGTCATGTGAACCAATCAGATCTTCTCTTTCTGACTTGGTGGTAGGATAATGGGCCACATCCTACACATGCAATGTAACACAATGGACATGATGGAACACTGAAGAAAATTATGGGACATATGGCCTTCTATGATATTGTCTCGAGAAGAAACCAATGCAATATAGCTCGCATAGAAGGCTGAGACTCACACAATATCAGACTTCTGAATAACAGTTCATCAAATTGACCAAGGCCCATCCCTAGCTTATGTCTGGCAACAACATAATGATGGATATTATAACTGGAAGAAAACTCTTACACGATAGGATGACAGAAGGACCCTCGATTATCCACATCAGTTTCATGATAATATTGAGCCACACAATGGTGAATATCATCTTACACATTGATGCTTCCAACCAACATGCTAGAAACAATATGCCTTCAGTTACAGAGAGCTAATTATCTATCAGCCAGGACAAATCATCAAGAAGCACCTGCTGTTGGGAATTTGTGCAAATTTTAAGATTGATGATGGTAAAAGAAAGAAGAATTCCTACTGAGTGTTCTTGATGTAAATAAGATTAAACCAACCAATACAGCCTGGAATTGTTTCAGAACATAATCTCAGCAGCACTTTCACAGTACCAAGGCAAACTGACTAGAACTGTGTATCTTATCTCAACAATACATATGACATCATAAATTTTATCAAAAACCTCTGATAACTCATTTATTCAAGGAACTTTTGAATGTTTAATACAAACTTGATGGGGATTTATTTACCGGTAGGCATTCTTAGAGGCCAGTCTGTCGAAAACCCCAAATTCATCATGTTCATAAATTGAAATTTAGGATATCCAAATTCAGGTTATAAGTCTTTGTATAATGGGACTTGGTTTGACAGGATTCAAGCCGAAACCAAAATTTCTTTCAAGTGAACTTACTAAACATGACAATAGCTGAGCTGTTGTGTCTAAGACTCCAGGTGAAAAAGTGATCTGTCGTCACTGTCTGTTAGATCACAAAAGGTGAATGCAATGTTGGTGGAGACTACAAGGGTGCTATTTATGATTATTCTGTCACAATGATCAAATTTATCAGAGACTACATAAGCATGATTATTAGATATTATGGGAAATACACTTATTATCCAATGCTGGCTTCCACAGGTCTGAGATCCAACAATATGTCTGAGGGAATGTCCTTTACTGAAAACCAATTGGTTGATTAACACATCCATTTAACTTATGGCTTAATTGTTCAAATCTCTAATTCAATTGATTTACCTTTTACTTCATAATATATTTTGATATATATCATTCTAACAATGCCACAACATAACAGTCAAAATACCTAACTCTTTGGTTTGTAAGGATGTGACTTGAGTGCAAGGTTAAAATAATCCATAGCAGTGTCGTGACTACAAAAGAAAGATAACTTTTTGTATTGAATTAGCCTCTGAGTTTTGCTACTTGAATCAACTTGTGTTGATCTACCAATTTCATCAAAATCATATCTTAGCTCTCACTACAACTCAACAAGATCTGGGGACATCCCATTACGGGTCAAGACAGAACGACCTTTCACAAATTTTGACTGGGCCAATGAAATGACTAACAAGTACTGGACATTACCCAATCAGAAAGAAGCATTCCTGAGCTTTACAGCACTAGTTTCAAACTGGTGATTTCCATTCCACAATTTGCTTTGAAAAATATTTTGTACCAAGTTTTCTATTCAAAGTTTAAAAACTGAACAAACTAAATCTGGAATGTTTGATAGATAGCCGAGATTGTATGGCAGTACTTCCACTGGTTATGGAAAATCACTTCCGTTTCTAATGTTATTCAACTGAAGTGAGAGATCGACGATGATTTTGACAGAATCAGTTGTACAGACTGCAACTGTCGTTTGGAATACCCCGTGTTAACCATTTCAAGATTGCATGATTAGAAACACATTCATGCTGTCACTTTCCCAATCCGGTAAGCAACACTCTGTCTGGTCGGATAAATGGTCATTCTGATGTGACCCATAATGGGATGTCCTCAGATCTTTGTTTTAGCAGTAGTGAGAACTAAGATCTGATTTCAATAAGATTGGTTGATCTACTTGATATCAGGTGAGAAAATACCTTCTTTTAGAGACCGGTCATGTATTACAGGGGTGGGTGAGTGGGTCAGAAGTTTTGGATGCACTACAGAAAACAGTTACCCTCCCCTAACACCCATCATAGTTTGGAAGAACCTCCCCATGTCCTTGCAAATGTTTTCACTGACCCTCCCTGAAAAGACAGAAAGCAAAAGTACTTTATATTTTAATATAACCTATCTACTCTTTCATGAACCTCCCCAAATATGTGCATTATTTTTTAAGACCCTCCCCTAGAGACTGTTTTTGTGTTGGGTGACCCTCACCTGATTTCCTCTGATCCCCCACTATCATAAATGACCATACCTAATTTAACCAATCAGAAACCATCACTTTTGTGACAGCTTGCCAAATGCAATCACGTCCAGTGATCCCTTGAGCACCTTTAGCTGTAGTAAAAAGATCCATTTCTACATATCGGTTTCCACTTGGTAATAAACCCTCCCTTGCCATAGGATCTCCTTATTCCCCATTACATAAATATACCCCTACAATGTATGCTACAACCAATGAGTCTGAAACACTATTCTTCACAAGGCAAGTCATAATTTGACCAGCTTGGCTGGCTGTGCTGTGAATCTGATTGGTTACACAAACATGTTTGTAAGATTTCCAGATCTAATTAGCTATTACTTAAGGTTCATCAACACTCCTGATATTGTCACAATACTCATCATGCTGACTGCTATCAATAGGGGCTCCAAATTGCCATTTGGAAAGTAACTTAAATATTCATGTCTCTTTAGTTTCACTCTGTGGAGATCCTGACCCCAACAGATTCCCAATAATGCATGCTTGTCATAGGAGTCCAGTGCACTGATGGTCAAAAGGATAATGATGATGATAGTTGATTATGCACCTCAATTATTTTCAGTGTGTGAGAGCTAAACCCTGAAGCCCAGATACATAACTATTAACATGTACAGCTATTACAAGCTGACGGTGGAGTTTCAAATCCACATAATGTTGCAGGTATCTGCAGTGTTTGAGACTTTATTTCCTATATAAAGGTCACAAGGTACTGGTGTTTCCTTGCATGGTTCATACCAATAGAGAACACTAAAGTTCAAGGCCATTTAAGGATTTTCAAGGTTAAACACTTAAACATCCTTGGTACATATGTGTGTTTTAATACTTTTATCTGCAAGCATATGTCATTTTGTAAAAATTCAAGGCTTTTCAAGTTTGACACTAATAATCAAGGCTTTTCAAGACAGACCTTAAAATTCAAGCCCTTTTAAGTCTGTAAGAATTTGCTATTTGAATCTAGGGACCCCAAATCTCTGCCTCTCAACATTTGGGCTCTGACAAGGATGACTCCATGACTTCCATGCTCAATTTCGAAGACTGGCAAGTATTTTTCCAGCATCTTGAGTACATACTTCTTATTATTT